ATTCCCGTATCTTTAAGCACATGTTAGGATTACACATCCTAGCCTCCCTTTCAGCTAGGTTCTCTGATAGAAAAACGTGAACAGAAGTGATTCACATGTACCTCCTAGAAGCCTGGCTTTAAAATACCCCAGGGATGCTCCTATGTGCCCATTCTTCTGGGATAGAAATAAGTACAGAGGCCTTAGAAGCCATATGGTAGACCAAAGCATCTCTTGACCAGGAGTCCAGAAAGCCCTGCATGAAGCAGAGCCACTATTGCCTGGGTTGCCTGAGTCAGGCGACTTGGACTCAGAGCGGTTAATAAGACTCTTGCTCCAAAAACCCCCTGTGATCAGGGGCTTACCACAGCCTTGACTAGCCTAATACAGTTACCAGTCTCAAGAAGTTCACATGTTCTGATCTGGCTCCTTGGTGCAGCAGTTAAGAGCTGTGTAGAGAAAGCTGGATTCCACATGGCCAACCACAGACCAAATCCTGCCCAGCTAGGGAAAAATGCCAGGCATATGTATGCAGAGGAGTTAAAAATGACTGCAACATGACCACTCACCATCAGGTGGCGCTTTAGCCATCCCCCTGGGGATGGGGGGTGAGTTCTTGCTTCCTATCTGTCTCTCTGGCAAGCACATGCGCCTTATAGCAAAAATCTCTCTAAATAAATAAATGAAAAAGAAGTTCACAAGTTCAAATAACAAATTCCTAGTATTATAGAGTATATTTTAAAGAGACTTCTAGACAGGAGATTACATTTTGCAAATCAGTATTGGCTTAAAAAGCTGTAGGTTTTGCTACCAAGATGGAAAACCAAGTCCACCTTGGCTGAGACAGAGCATAGAATCATCGCTTTTCTGTAAGGGCAAATGAGCACTCTGGGTCAGTGTCTCTGAGGGAGGGGCTTGGTGGTATGCAAAGGAAATAATGTTCTTCTTACCACACAAACCTCTACCTTCTTCCAGGACAAAATAATCAGATCTGTGTCATTCCAGTCTCTGGGGTCACCTCATCTCCTTCTGCTTTCCCACTACCTCACTGGTGGACACAGTGAGGTATAGAATGGTCTTGTAAAAGTCCTCATGGGTCATGGGGACCAGCAGGTGGCATGGCGGTTAAGGCACGGGACACTCCCACATGGCCGACCGCAGTTCAAATCCTGGACCTAGTGGCTTGTTTTCTTACTTTCCTTCTCTCTCTTTCTCTGTGTGTATGTGTCTCTCTCTGGTCAAATTAAAATAAATGAATAAAAATAAAAATTAAAATTAAAAGTCCTCATGGGTCAGCCCACAGCATCCTGGAAGATTAGCATCACTTATCACTTGGCATCTGTTCTATCTGGCCACCCCAGACCTCAGGACAAAATGCAGTGAGTTTCTATAGGTAACACAATGGGAGCCTCCTTTCTTGGGTCTGGGGACTCCTCCTTGATTTTATGCACTTTCAGAGCGGCTAAAGGGCAAACGGTTTGGATTTCACCAAGTTGAGGGGGGTGGGGAGAGAGGATGAACAGCCTGAATGGAAGACAGACACAGAAGAAAATTAATTTTTTAACAAAGTAATATATATTTTTTTCTGCTTAAGCAAATGGCTTTTGTGAAAATATATGAAAAGCAATACACCATTTGGTTTTTACTTAGTCATCACTATCATGTTTTGATGCAAATAGAAAGTTACAATAACAGGAAAACACAGGATCAGGGATTATGTACAATTCTGTGTTCAAGTGATCTGTAATTCAGGCAATGTACGGTTTGAAACACATATCTTGATTTCTCATTTCAGTTGCTACAGATGCTGTTTGAGGAAGCAAAGAATACATGAATGAAAAATAATAAAATACAGTGAGCTAAATAATCGACTATTACAGAGAAAATAAATAATTTCACAATGTATTACAGTAGAAATAAGCAGTGTTTCTGTATAAAAATGTATTTCCACAAATAAACTGCCTAGCGACAGATACGATTAAACTACACAGGAAACTTGTCAAAGTGGTATAAGTTACACGGATACAGTGTCACAGGCTGCATAAAACTGTATTGAGAATTAACCATCTGAGGGCCACGTCCAGGCCTGCAGCCATCAGAGTCCTTTCAGTGGAACCTCCTGCTTTAAAGGACTTCCAAAAGCTGCCCCATCAGTTTTCCACCAGACTTCATCATTCCACATTTGGCTTTTCAAAGCAAACTATAACCTTTTTGAGAGGATCAAAATGTACAATTGAGGTAAAGAGATATTACACAAGAAGGAACTTTTCTGTTGGCACAGAAGATTTACAAGAATACTTTCCACAACATTGGTATATGTGACAGGATGGATCGACCACACATTTATAATACTGGCAGAAAAAACACTGCAGCATTGAGCTGAAGACACAGATAACCTACTGATACTAGCAAAAACACCAGTCTTGTCGTTTCTCACTCCTGCCCCTAATTTTATGCTGAACTTTCAGGTTTACCCTATCATTTGTACTTTTTCATTAGCTCATCCAAAGTCACAAGGACGTATTATTCTATGCAAAAATGCATTGTGACTTTTCCAATGACCCATTGTTTTTGTTTTTCTTTGATCCCCCAAAGAGTTTCCCATCCTGGGGAGCAACAGGAAGCTCCACTGCCACAAGATTTGGTAATAAGTCATCTGCGAAGGATGTGCCTTAAAGAGCGTGCTTACCGTTTGCCCCCAAAGTATTACAGAATGCAGGTTCTACAGACATACACGTGGCAGATCATATTGCAACATCACAGCTATGAGTGAGCGTTTCTGACTGTAAGTCGAAATGTGGCTTTCTCCACTGTTAAAAGCCAAACCAGATGAAGCTTGTTTACGTCTTACTGTTAGAGTTATCTTGAGTTTAAAAAAAAGGGGGGGAGGAGGTAAAAGATAACAGACAGGGAGCACATGCACAAGATGGGTTACAAGTATGTGCCTGAGCGGCACAAGGCCCTGTGGACTAACAGGCCCTTTCCCTCACCTCAGTCAATGATGATACTTCAAAGTGAAAGAAAGGAGTGGGGCAGGCTTCAATATGCAAGCTCTAAGCAAGTTCAATTGGCTTAGCAGATCTAGATGCAAAGAAAAGTAGAAGTTTTAGACTTTCCTTAAGCGATGAGAAGACACCCTGCGCCAGCAATCTGCACTGTGCCACCCATTCCAAACTCCAGGTACCTTCATTTCATTCACCTCGTTTTAATTTACACAAAGTACCATTTTGGAATTAAAAAGTGATATTGAGTTAGAAGAAAGCATGATTGTTTTTAATGTTTAAGATCAACATTGTGTCTCCATGCACTTGACTTATGGATTAAATATATCATATACAGGAAAAAAACAAACAAACACAAAACCCTGTTGAAATACTAGTTGGATGTAAAGGTTAGATTAGTTTATGTTCACTTTTTCTTTTAGTTTTATATTCATTAGGTATTGGAAGTAAACCTAAAGGCACCAAGTGGAAATAAATTAAATTACATGTGTATTTATCAGGTCATTAAATTAAAAAAAATAAAACACTTTTGTCAGAATGTTAAAAAAGGAAAAATTGTTCCCATACTTTTTAATGCATTTTCTTCTCTAGGGTGTTCTAACCTCTTTTATTTTGTTTTTTTTGTTTGTTTGGTTTTTTTAGGTTCTTGACATAGGATGCATGTGCTTGCCAGAGAGAAAAAGGTAGATAGAGGAAAAGAAAAATCATCCCCCAGAGGGGAAAGCCATGCTGCAATCCCTTCTCCTCCATTCTCCTCTCAAGGGTTTTAGACATGCATACATGTACATGGCATGAGTTTCAAGCCACTGGGTCTGGGACTTGAACTGTGGTTGGCCAGGTGGGATTCCTGCACCTTAACCACTAGGCCTCCTGTTGGACCCCAATCTCTAATTTTTAAAAAAGTATTGCCGATAAAGAAAATACATTTTTCATATTATATAATTAGATACTATCTAGGGCCTAAGTGAAAATCAGCCTTACATTTATAAAAGCCAAAGAAGATTGTATTCTTTTTCTTTTTTTGGATAAAGTTTTGCTATAGGGTGTGTGTGCTTGCCCCAGAGACAGAAAGCAAGAAATCACTCCCCAGGCGGGATGGTCATGCCACAATCCCTGCCCCTTCATTCTCTTCTCAGGGTTTTGGGAACACATGCACATGCACCCAGCATGAATTTCAAGCCTCTAGGTCCAGGACTCGAACTACCGTTGGCCATGTGGGAGTCCAGTGATGTAACCATTACACCATCTGCTGGTCCCAAGGAGACTATTCATGCTTTTTCATGTAGCAAAAAAACTCTACTTTTAAAAACATGAGTATTTCAACTGGGGGGAGGGGTTTCAAACTATCAAGAAAATCCAAACTATGACACCTTTCTCATTTCATATTTCTACCTGTGAACTTGCTGTTCTTTGAAAACTTTGTTTCAGCTCATGAGAGAAAGAAAACCAGTGACAGGATGGCAGACCCAGCTCAGCTCAGGTCCAGAAAATTTCCAGGTACCAGGGAGATGGAATTCCCACCCTCAGAACTGTAGCACTCTGGGTAAGGATGTGTCAGAGACCAGTGTAGTGAAAGGGGCAGAAACAGCACACGTCCAGGCTCTCCCAGTGCCTCGCTCTGTGCTGGGCTCCGACCTGCACTTGCACTGCTGTCTGAGGGAGGGCCATGGTTACTGGCAATGCTTAACACACTTCACTGTACCGGTAGGTGACTGTTAGGTAACTGAATGGAAACGGTGATAAATAAACATCTCTGAAATTTGATTCTGTCAGAAGAAAAGCCTTCTTTGTGCAAGGCTTGCAACAGCCTCATTCAACCACAGAAGGGCAGAGTGTTAGAACTTCCCACCAGTGAACCAGAGTTAGCAGTTGATACACAGAAAGGGTTAAATAGTCAGATCAAAATATACTGCACATTCCTCTTCAGAGATGACAGAAACTTTTGGATTTCATAAACCTCTACTTCTTACTATTTTGTCTGGACCCAAGGGACATAGGATCAACATCAGGCAACTTTCATATGCTTGGAATCCAATTTTAAGAATTTATTCTGGGATATAAATCAGGTAAGAAAGAAGTAGATGGATGATTTTTTAAGGAAATTGGACTCCCTCGGTACTTTGAGTAGATTGAGTATTGAGAGATTTACAAAGATACAATTCTTTAGAAGATTAAGGAAGATGGAAATGAAATCAAATCTTTCACTTACAGATACTGAGTTTCATTAATTCTTTCACCAAAAGCACATCAATGAAGAAAAAACAGAAATGGTTTTTCAGATATTACTGAAGTGACTCAAGGGCCCCCTTGAGATGGAAACAAAGTATTCAAGTGTTCTTCACAAGAATACCTTGTGCAGGAAAGACTGATAGGAAGGATTCTGAATTCAAAAAGAATATTGCTAAAGAAACATTTTTTTCTACAAAGTCACATTTTAGAAAAAAAAAAAAAAGAACTTTTTAAAATCTGTCCTGTAAAACCTATACTTCCTTTTGAATCTCCAAAGGTTACACTGCTTCATCAAAAATGCTTGGTAGTCAAGGCTTCATGGTCTGTGGTTACTGATTATCTAAACCCTTTAGTCAAAATAAATGCAATTGATATAAACCTGGCTACCGCCTGAGTCCTCTTACTAGAGAAATGTGAAGGAAGCAGAAATCCACAGGCCCGTGGTGGAAGAGTTGGAAAACTTAATGGTAAGAAATAACACATAACAAAGGAGATTCTGAGGGTTGGGATGACTGCCAAGCCTTTCTTTAAAATTTTATCCAGGGGCCCCTCAATCTCTGTTTAAAAAAAAAAAAAGTGTTCATGCACTGTGGTGCTTGATATTTCTTACAGTATGATGAAAGATAAACACTTTACACCAAAAAAAAAAAAAAGGAAGCAAGACTTCTGCTATACTTTTGAAGATGCTTAGGAGTAAAAGCTGCTTTGCTTTCATTCTGCAGGGCCTGTAGCCTTTTTTCTAGAAGGTGTAATGCGGCTGAGCATTGTCTCCTCTGGTAGAGATTTTCTAGTTTCAGGTAAACGAACTAGTTCCCATCCTAAATCCCCAAACAAATCTTAACACCACGTTTGTTTTTCTGTGTTCCAATGTCAGGCTGAGCGATTCTCCTTAGTATGCATGAGGCTTACTGCCATTAGACCACGTGACTAGAAATCATCTTTTAAGAGTGAAGCTTGCTCATTTGGGAAAAATTAAAGATTTGGTTTAAACCACAGACCAGAGGAAAGATGACATATTCTTCTAGTCTATATTCTTGGAAATAGCGCCATTAAGCCTACAGTCCCTTATCAGCATGCTGATTTTTGCGCTGCCTCAATGAGTCCTCCACCACCTCTGTGTCAGCTGAATGGGACTGCTCAGAGGAGTCCTCCTCAGCTTTGCCAGGGACTCCTTCCCCCTGGGCTACAGTCCCCTCTCTCAGGAGACCCTGGTCATTGGTTTCACTTCTCTCCTCATCTACACCCACAGCTGGGCTGTCCTCCTCCTCTTCTTCTTCTGCTTCATCCTCATCACCAAGGTCTTCTTTTTCTTCTTCATCATCTACAAGGCTGTCCTTGTTCTCTTCTTCATTCGAATCATCCTTTTCCTCCTCTGCGTCCTGCGACTGCTCATCCCGATGAGCCTCCTCAGGTCTCAGATTCTGCTCTGTGGAGGGAAGAGGGGAATGTCCTTTGAATAAACAATCGCAATTTAGCAATTGACCTCGTATGTTTAGCTGTGAAATGAACCAAGTGGGGGATGTGACAGTTTCCTCCACCTTGAAACCATGGTATCACATGATAGATTCTTCTGGTTAGCATCCTGGTCTTGTCCAAGGCTTCTCCATCCCTCTCTGGAGATTTCACTGACCATGCTGACTCTGGCAGAGCAGTGGGCAGAGAGAATAGAAATTCCTTCATGCTGTATACTTGGCACCTTGTAGATGGCTCAGTGACCCACAGGCCATGACGACTGGTTCAGAAATGAGACTTAAGCAGAGCCAGAATGCTCTCCAGGAGTTCTGGGCCAGAGTTCAAACAAAAAGCCTCTCTCTTTCTTGAGGAATTGCTAAACTGATAAAATCTGAATTGGGATGGCTGTCAGCCAATCAATCAGTCACATGGAAACGGAAACCTAACATCACTTGGGCTGTGCTTGAAGCCAGAATGTCCCTGGACTTTCCAGTTACATGAACTAATAATACATTTCCATTATTTTTCCACTAACATGCTTTACATTCAGTTCCTGTCACTTTTAGGAATTCTAAGAATCAATATATTTTAAACTATTTTTGGAAATCTCAATGCCTCAGAAACTTCAGAACTGAAACAAAATATCAGCTTACTTAAGCTCCCATATAAAATTCAACAAAATTATAAAATCTTATAAAAATCCTTATAGAAAGTCTCAAAAATATTCAAGAATAAAGACATGCAAATCCAGAGCCATCGACCCCAGAAGCAGTATAGAGCAGTGCAAGTACTTTGGGAAGCAATTTTTAAAGGAGTTAGGAGAGTTACTAACACACTCAGTAAATGAGAGCCCCTCAATCCCATCTCATTCCAGTTCTAATGAAGAGATACTTAAAAAAAAAAATACAATCTCCAAAATGAAATCTTCCCTAATTTGAGAGGCAGTAAAAAATAATTTTTGGTCAGATATATCTAGAGGATCTATTTTAAGGAATCTGGTGGTGGTGACGGTTTGATCAACTGGCAAATCAGAGGAGAAATCCACTATCTGTACGTGTGCAAAGAGCACATCACAGAATTACAGAACACTCTATCAGGTGAACCTATACTTACCGGACCGTTCAGATAAATGCCTTGGAAGTGGTACATAGAAACATTCTGATATTATCACCAAGACCTATAGGGAGAAAAAGTACTGTTTACAGTGAGTAGATAGGACATTTATTCTCAAAAGGCCACAAAATTAGGTCTTCCTTCTATAACTAGATATTCTTAGATGAACAATTAGCAACTGCTCAAAAGTCTTCAAAAAAGACATGGATATAATTAAGAATTTCCTACTTTTCAAATATGATACAAAATAGGAAAAAAAAAAGAACTAATTTAGAATGGGGGTCACAAAGTCAAAAGTCTACAGAAGCTTATTATAAACAGAGATATCAAGATATAAGAAAATGGGTATTATCGGCCAAGTCCAAAATGGTCTTTTTAAAACGCTATTCTGAGCAAACAAAAACACTCTGTAATAAGCTGTCCCTCACCATTGGGTGATGCCCAACTGAGTGGAAATATATCTCAGGGTCTAGAATCCTCAAGAGAGTCATAATAAATTTTTACAGAGATGAATTGTAAAATAAAACAAAACTCCTCAACAAGGCCAACAGGTGACATGGCGGTAGAGGTCAAGACTCTGGATCCCACAAGGGTGACTATAAGGTTTAAGTGTCAGACCTGACAGCTTGAAACTCAAGCTGGGTACATGTGCATGTATGTCTAATATCCCAAGGAGAGGGGAAAAGAAAAGATTGTGGTATAGCTATCCCACTTGGTGGTGGTGGTGGGGGAGTGAGTTCTCATTTTTTTTTTCTCTCTCTCTGGTGAGCACATGTGCCCTATAGCAAAACTAAAATACTCTTCAATAATATGAACTAAAACTTATCTTACAGAGTGGCTGATTGGTTTCATCTCTGACCTTGACTACAGCTGGAGTCACTTTTTCCTTATAATAAATGTATCTTTTCCCTAGATAAACTACAATCTCCTCAAGGGAAGGATCCCAGTTCTAGTCCCACCCCCAGAGAGCACCATGTGACACACACTGTGATAAACTCTTGAATCTTAACAGTCAGGGTAAAATTCACTGGAGCTGGAATGAGCTGGAGCAACTCTCTATATATCTGCTACTTTCCCCATTCCCTGTGGCACCACACAAAATGAAGAACTGACACTGAATGAAGCAGCCGGTTTAGGAAAATATGCACGTCTCTCTGTACCTAGCTAACACTCTGACTGGAAGTTCACGTTGAATAAATGCAATCTTTAAAACAGTAATAGTACTATATACATTACTATTTTATAGGTGCTCTGAAATTTTAAGTAACACAAAGTCATAGTCTTTTTTATTTACTTTTATAAACATCAAATGAGCACCCAGCTTTGTGTCAGCAAAATGTACGTACATTTACTACTTTACTCAATGTATGGTTCATTAGGTTCAGAAAGGGAGCAGAGTTGCCAATGGTGAGAGGAAACAAACAACAAACAAACAAACAAAAAACGGACCACCAAGTGGAATGGTGGTTAAAGTGCTAGACTCCTACGAGGCCCAAGATGGTTCAAGGCCCAGACCTGGTAGCTTGCTTTCTCATTTTCCCTTTATCTTTCTCTCTGGTCAAATTAAAAAATAAAATAATAACAATGAATAAAATAAGTAACTCTTTAAAAAAAAAAAAAAGACAATTAGATCCTAGGCAGGACTTGGGGCAGCTGTTCCCCTGGACCATTCAGAGCCACTCTCAAGCAGCTTTGCCACGAGTGACAAAATCACTTCACTCTGGTTTGCTATACAAACATCATGTCCAAGGTGGCTAAAACGTGAAGACAACTGGGAAACATTCCTCTCTTATCCTACAAGTTAATGAAAATGCCAATACTGGGAGAGATGATATAAAATGGGATAAAAATGCAGCAGTTTCACATTGTATATCTGATTCACAAAAGGTAAGTTAAAAAGTAAATATGAAATTAAAGATCACTGAAGGCAAAAATTCTAGCTGTTATATGTTTATTTTAACATACTCTACAGTTGTATTTATAAACAGAAATATGTGTTTAATATGCTTTAGAACTGCAGTAACAGAAAATCTAAAAGTCTATTACTGCTTTGAAATTATTATTTTGTTAATAAAGTTTTCTCCCTAGCTCCTATCTGACTTACCACCTGAACAGTCTGCAATCCAACTCTCTTCTTTCTTCAGGTAAAGCCTCCAAAAACCTGCTTGCACTGATTATTTTTGAATCTAAGTTTCCAAATGATCTTAAGGCACAGGCAGGACTGATCCCAGTGTCTCGGACTTAAAGTCAACATCAAAGACAAAATCTTCTAATTCTTTTCAAAGTTGAAAAATTTCCTCTGATGTTTTAATAGGTTCGCAGTCAACCTATATTCCGAATAACTCGATTTTGAACTTTCTTGAGACCTCATACTGTTACTTCTACAAGTGCTTTACATTCATGTAGCCCCAAAATACATTGCTAGAAAAATCTAGCACTGGACAATAGATCAGAAAAGCACAGATGAAAACATTCTATTTATATCTGAAATCAAATCCCTTTAGGTCGCACAATGGGACGAAGTTAATTAACAATAAGATGAATGCAACAGAACACAACATACTCAGGAACTAATGAATGACATATACAATGATCTAAGTCTGATCCTCAATCTTAAAATTAAAATCAGCAGCCAAATCTCAAAGATTTGGTTTCACTGGTTCTTTAGGTTTGTGACTTGAATTAAACATGCTCATGGAAAAAACAGACAAACAAACAACAACAACAACAAAAACTGAGCCTCCTTGGCTTCCTGGATTTATGACTTTCTATCAAGTTATGACTTACTGTAAAGTCAATTACTAACATTTTTACAATTTCACTTTAATTCCCAGAGAGCATATATACTTGCTTGAGTGAGACAGAGATGCAGAAAGCAGTGGGGACAAAGCATTTTGCAATGGGGCGTGGTCAGTCCAGAATTCCTTCTCTTTTAGTTCTCCAATCTGTTGGGATTGGACACTTAAGCACATGTGTCTGACACATTTTTCAAGCCACTGGGTCAGGAATCAAATTGTGATGAGTCATGTAGCATGCGGCTCCATTAACCATTAGGCTCAGTGCTGGTCTAACTGCTAACAGTTTAAGCTTATTTTTAAAAGGGTTAGGCTGGGGTTAGCAGGTAGTGTGGTGGTTAAGGCAATGGATTCCCAAATGGCTGACTGTGGTCTGAGTTCAAACATGGTTACTTGAGAATTATGCCAGGCCCATATGCGTGCAAGCCCAAAATCCCAAGAGAAGAATGAAACAGAAGGGACTGTGGCATGCTCATCCCTCCTGGGGGGATGAGTGACTTCTCACTTTCCCTCTCTCAAGTCTCTCTCCAGTGAGCACACATACCCTATGGCAAAAAAAACTAAAAAATAAAAACAAAAACAAAAAAACAAATTTAAATAAATAAAAGGGTCATGTTATAAAAAGGTAAGGATAAACTTTAAGACAATATGATCTAAATGCTTGTTTTCACATCACTTTTTAATAATTATCAATTATTTTCATTACATAGTATTTAGGAGCTATATGATTCGTCTATAGAGTATAATGATTTTTAAGAACCTATCAGGACCAGTGAATGGGATTATGGTCACATTGCTGGACACCAAAATGCAAGTTGACTACAGTTTGAGTCTTGGGCCCAGAGGCTTGAAACACATGCCAGGTGTATGTGTGTGTGCGTGCCCAAAACCCTAAGAGGAGAGTGGAGGAGAAGGGACTATAGGTGGCCTTTTCCCCTGGCTATGATTTCTCAACTTTCGTTTCTTAGTCTCTCTCTGTCTCTCCAGCAAGCTCACATTCCCTACAGCAAAAATCTAACAAAAACAAAGAAAAAAAGATCTCCTTTTCTTAACTGGGGCTCAAGATGTAATAAAATTGATCCTGTGTAGGTTAATTGACTTTTTTGTTTTGTTCTCTTATATTTTTTAATTTTATTTATTTTTATTTTTGTGTGTCATAAGTACATGAGCTCACTGGAATTGAGAGAGAAAGAGAGAGGGAAAGTGAGTAATCACCCCCTAGGGGGGATGGCCACTCTGTACTCTCTTCTCCTCCATTCTCCCCTCAGGATTTTGGGCACACATGCATATGCACTGGGCGTGATTTTTCAAGTCACCAGGTCCAGGAATTGAATCATGTTTAGCCATGTGGAAATCCAGCCCACATGGCTAACCATATGTTCTGAATTCTTAACCTGGAGGCTTGAAATGAGCATCAGTGCACATACACCAAAAGTCCGAAAGGATAGAGAAATGAAGGGGAAAGAGAAACAAAGGAGACTGAATTATGGTGTGATCATGCAGCATGATCATGACCTGCTGAGAGGTGATTTAGTCAATTACTAACATTTTTACAATTTCATTTTAATTCTCAGAGGGCATATGTGCTTGCCTTAGTGAGACGGGGAGACAGAGAGTGGTGGGGAGAAAGCATTTCCCAATTGGGTGTGGTTGGTTCATAACTCCTTCGCCTTCATTCCTTCATCCTGGATTGAACATTTAAGCACGTGCATCTGGCATATTTTTCAACCTCTCTCTTTCTCTGTCTCTCTCTGGCAAGTGTACACACCCTCTAGCAAATTAAAAAAAAAAAAAAAGAGCTAAACATTCAAGAAAATTTATAGGTATAGTCTATATAATTAGATAAACAAATTCATTATTCCAAATCTCACCTGAAGCACCTAGAGAGAAAAATACACAGATATTTCTTGGGATACTGATTTTCATCAACAAACAAAACATGTTAATGTGCTCTGACTCATTCTCCTCCCCCATAATAATGATTGTGTGGCTTTATCTACATTATCTTTCAAAATCTATCCTGTGAAAACCAGAGTGCAGCTGGTCCAGATTAGAGGTTCAACTGGAGGATATGAACGTGAAAAAAATCTTGTATCTACCTGAGGAACAAATTCACAACTTTGGCCTTATTGCCACAGTGTTCAAATCAGGGAGACAATGTGTGAAATGACAGTTGACTCAGTTGTCTTGGAAACTAATTACCAATTCAAGCAGGGATTCAATTTCCTCTTTCATCACTATCTATATTCTGGGCAGCAGCCATCTTTAGAATATTTAAGCAATAGGATCAGGGGATCATAATTTCATGAATTTTCCAGTATTTCTCACATTACCAATGAAATCAGTATCAAAGAAACAAATGCTCTTTAACTGCTTAGATTACAAACAGAATACTGCTAATGTGCTTTTTTTCTGTAGGTTGCTTTTTAGTTTTACATGAAACTGATCCTGCTTTGAAGACCAGAAGAAAGATTTGTATTCTCTTACCAAACCCATGAGAAGGCCAAAAACCAAGGTGGCTACGATGAAGAACACGTAAGAACACCAAGCAGGAATTCCAAGGGTCACTGTGAAATAGTTGTGAAGGTGCTGTAATCAAAGAAAAAAGAAATAGAATGTTTACCTGTAATGAAGACCAAAAAAATCTTTGAATAACTCAAGTCTGCCTCTCTATGTATGTAAGTTCCCACAAAGGTTTATGTATCTAAAATGACTCTTAAGGAACAAATCAAATGTTATAACACTGACAAACTGAGAGAAATAATCAAGGTCATATTTAATAAAAATCATACTGCCTTAGAGATCATGATCTGGGTAGGACTCTGGTAGAATTGTTTTGCTAGCCCTTTCTTCCAACATGATGGATTTTGATTTTTTTGGTCTCTCTCTCTCTGAATAATTATATATACCTCAATGTTTACTCATACTATGGCATCTATAAAAAATTAAATTTCATGAGTCTTTATCAATTTTTAAGTAAAACTACATTAATCCTTACAGATTACTACTTAAAATGTCTCCACACTTCCACACTTTTTTTTTTTTCAGTATAGGGCACATATGCTCACTGCAGAGAAATATAAGGGGGGTGTGAGAGATCATCCTCTGGGGATTGGCCATGCAGCAATCCCTTCTCCTCTAAGGACTTTACACATGTGCCCAGTGTATTTTTTTTAAAGAGAGGTTTTTGCTATAAGGTACGTGAGTTGATGAAAAGATAGAAAGAGACAGACAGAAAGTGAGAAATCACCCCCCAGGGGGATGGCAACACCTCAGTCCCTTCTCCACTCTACTCGGGATTTTGGGCATGCGTACACACACACCCAGTGTGAGTTTTAAGCTTTCGGGTCCAGGATTTAAACAGCAATCAACTACATGGGAGTCCAGTTACATAGCAGTTCACGAACCATCAGCTGGTGCAAAGACCAGGATATTTTTAAGGTGTTGGGTCTTGGGACCCTAACTGCTCAGTCGGCAGTGTGGAATCCAGTGCCCTAACCTGATGGGCCCATACTTTATTTAATTGGAAATTTATTGCTCTACTTCTATCCATCCTTAACAACTTTTTGTTTGTTTGTTTTTTTCTTTTTAAGAGATCTTTGCTATAGAGCGCATGCACTCGCTGGAAAGACAGAAAGACACAGAGAAACAGAAAGTGAGAAATCATCCCCACAGGGATATCTCCATACAGCAAGCCCTTCTCCTCCATTCTCCTCTCAGGATTTTGGGTGTGCATGCACATATGCCTGGTATGAGTTTTAAGCCACCAGGTCTGGGACTCAAACCCCAGTCAGCTATGTGGGAGTCCAGTGACATAACTATTATGCCATCTGCTGGTCTTATTTCCTGAACAACTTTATTAAATTACCATAAAATATGATAGAATAAATAGATTTTCTGGAAAATTCATTATGAGCTAATATTTTATCAGTCTCTGAGTGTACATCTGTCCATGCTATTACTATTCTTTAGAATTCTACTTGATGAGAAACCTTTTCTTTTTAACATTTATTTATTTGTTGTCATTTTAAAGTCACCACATCCAGAACTTGAACCCAGTCAGCCATGTAAGAATCTGGCATCTTAACCACCATGCTACCTGATGGCCCCAATGATAAACACTTTTAAAAGCAGTGAAGAGAGACACTCTCAGCTAGTAATTATTTACATGCTAAATTATATAGAGACTACAGATATGAACCTTATAGTATCAAGTGAAAGCCCACTTAAATGTGGAGGGATCCATGCTTCCTACAGTGATTCGGCCATCTGTGTTAGACCCAGACAGCTTCAAAAATAGCCACCCCTGCAGTACAAGCAATTAATGGACAAAGGACAAAAAGGCTCTGAGTTAATAGGACCAACAAGCAAAGACAATGACTAAATGATTTGCCTAGAATCAGTAAAGTTGATGAAACTGAGTTCAAGTTTCTATTTCAACTACACATTTATCAAAAGTTTTGGTTTTTAGTTTATGTCAACATAATCAAATACTATATTTCAATATGGCTAAATCTGAATGATAAACAAAAAAGGCTGTTAACTGATCTAGAATAATCTGATATCTATGTCTATAATTTTTTGTTAAGCAGAAGAGATAGATTTAAAGACTCAGCAAGTATTTTTAAACACTGACACAGGTAATCAACTGTTCAATCAATATTTGTTGAATAGGAAAAGATGCATTAAACACTCAAACTATGAATAGAAAATGCTAATACTCTTGATTTATAAAAGGGTCACTTGTCTACTGACTTTATTCAATTAGGACTTTTATTTTAGAGTATCCTAGCATTCTGAAACCTAGTCAGAAAAAGAGGAATCTGAGGTATCAACACGTCATTTGATCCAAACTCTTCAATGGATATTCTAAAATGTACTGCACAGTTCCTCATTTTAGAATATACTGCATGTTGGGGCCAGCAAATGGCATGGTGGTGAAGGTGCTGGACTCCCGCGTGGCTGACCACAGTTCAAGTCCCAGACCTGGCAGCTTGAAAATCATGCCAGGTGCATATGTGTGTGCCTAGAATCCCAAAAGGGGGATGGAGAAAAACGGATTATGGCATGGCTATTCTCCCAGAGGGATTTCTCACTTTCCCTCTCACTGTCTCTCTTTCTCAATCTCGCTAGCAAGTGCATGCAATCTTTGGCAAAATCTAAAAGTATGTGTGTGTATGTGTGTGTGCATGTGTATGTATATATTGCATGTTGAACACAGTTTATGTTTGTCTTGATGACTCAATGCCATCATCAGAATTAAACCTTGAAATGTGCCAAAGAATTAGAAGATGCTGAAAACCAGTCTGCGCTGTACTAAAATATGCATGCATTCTGTAAGGAATTTGCTTCACAAGGATCTGTATTTTACTTTATTCATAGGGTTAGGATGAGTGATGTATAGTTTGGGGATGAATAATGTGGGTCTTAAGTCCTTCCAGACAGTGGCATCTGCTTTTTCTGAAAAAATAAATGAGTAAAGCAACCCTCAAGAACTGCCTAAGTTATTTTTTAAATTTCAGTTAATTGTTTGCCTTTGAATTGTTGCATTCTGAGTCAAACACTTTTTAGTACTTTCAAAACATCCTATTAGTTTAGTAAGCTCCACTTTAGTTTTCCTGTATCCACTTACTCTTTAAGAGGTTTATTTGATCTCCTTAGAGAAACCCTGCCATCTTGTGGTCTTTCAGGTAATTATTACTAAAGACTCATTAATCAAGTGTTTTCACAATTGCAGACATAAATCTTTATCTGTTTACTTGTCTGAACCACAATGGTTTTAGAGAGCTCTATAGGGTGAGGACTCATGGTACCATGCACATAAAGTTTTACGGTATTATGTTCCAAAGTAATTGAGTAAAACTTGTCGAATTTGGTTCTAGATTTTTGTGTTTCTGTTTCTTTGACAGGTAAGGCAACAGCTTTCACTTATGGAAAACACTTATCTTTGTTTAATGTTACCTGTGTTATCACAAGGGAATATCCTACTCTATTTAGAAAAAAATCACTCAAATGTCATCAAATGGGCATGACGATACCTTAGACTATTATATGATTGAACTAGATGACTAAGTTATAGCTAATTTTCAGTTACGAACAGATTTGAGTAAAGAAACTAGATGAAAACATCCTTACAATAAAATAAATAAGAACACCCCAATCACTGGTCAGACATATGTTGTTAGAAAAGTCATGATGTACTTTTCTATGTTTTTCTACACAAAAATGTGCCATGACTCTACCCAATATTTAAGGAACAGAACCAGACCAAGACCTGCATGAATCAGAGGCATAGCCTCCCTTTTTCAGGAAAGCCAGCACTCCCTCTGAGGTCTGAACTACTGTAGGCTAGAAGAAATGCCACCAAGCACATCCACTCATACAGCCCAGTGTTACACCCTCAATCAAAGCTGAACTGCCCTGAAGAAGACAAGCTTTGGATTCAAAGCCCACCCTGAAGAGTTCTGTTATAACCACTTTATCCCTTTCAGACACAGGTCAGAGCTCCCAAAATACCTTCCCTGGAAGACAGTGGGTAGGAAGGACCCCTCAATGTGACCAATCGTCCTTTCCTCCCTCCTTTCAAGTTGAATCTTAATATTTACAACACACTGCCTTGTAGACTCTTACAGGCTCTATGAGAGGTATCCTGTGGATGTATACATCTCACTACAACATGCCACAAAACAGTCTAGAAGTTTCTATAAGGAAACAAAGAACAGTCAGAGAGGAGATTATACTACATAAACCACTGGGGAATGCTTTTAGGTTTTAAAATACACTCTGTTATTTTTCATTCTAAACACTTAGGCTTTTAATTTCATTGCCAGATATTTTTAAAGCTTTACATCTTCTGTCACATCATTCTAATCAAAAGGGAAGGTAGTATCCATCACACAGATGTCCTCCCAAGGACACAGCATACCTTATTTAGCTACAATCTGTCATATGCCTGTATCCTTTCATAATAACAGTCACAGTTAAAAGAGGTAAGACATTCTATATTACCACAGTGAAGAGCATAGATTCACCAAATCAAATAAAATAGTGCTTAATTACACTGAAATGACAAACCTAGTTACAAACGTGTATACACTGTGAAACTGCCATGGAACTCAATTTTTAAGTCTGTTATCCACCATGCTTAAAATATAAATGAGAAGTTAAAGTTTTCCACATTTCCTATAACCAGAAGGGAAAAGTAAAGTAACAAAGACAATAATGATTAATGAATATGACTAATGAAAAGCAGTTACAAGTACATATTAGGTGCCAGGGTCTGTGCTTAACAGAGTATTCTAGTATCCACAGTCTATGGCAGGGAAAATAAAAGAATTCAGAGACATATATACATGGGGGGGAACAAAGGCTTATGTTTCTGGGTGAGAGAACAGTGCCTCTCTGCAGCATTGTAGCCAACTATGAAAAGAGAAGAAAACTGGATCATCTATCTCTGCACTTGTGCCACAAACAAAATACCAACCTGGGGTCTCCTAATCCTGACTATGGCACCAAATCCAGGGGCAGTGCAGGTCTATGTTCAATCTTTTGCACATCGCTTTCATTATGTTCGCTTACCTTGGACCACC